GTGGATGTGTAATGTTTAGCTATCTATGACCTAAAACCTAGCGAGAAGCTTAAGAATTAGTCTGTGCTTGACCAACCATTAGGTGCCATGTATTCATTCACTCTGACGGAATATAGAGGAATAGGAATGAGGAATTCTAGTGCTAGGCTCCTTTTTGCTTAAGGGGGTTACTTTGTAGTTGTGCTTTCAGCACAAGTGTAGAAAGCCATTTTAGGACAACCTAACTGGGTTCTCCTGAGCTGCATGGGATTGTTATTTTTAATAAATAAAGAGCAAAACCATAATAAGAAGAATTCATTAAAATACACATACATCCTGGAAGATTAATTTTGTTTTACTTACAGCTTCCTTTTTATTTTATTAGCCTGCTGCTCAGTAAGGCTATAATGATATATCAAAACAGGATTTGAAAATTAAATTTTGGAGTTTAATTTACTTCAAATGCCCATAAAATGTTGCAATTTGTGGACTTCGGAGGCTATTTTAAAAAAGGATTAATGGATATGACTTGAGCGATTTTTAAAAAGTATTTTTTTTATTCTTTTCCATTTCTTCAGTGTAATATGGTAATGTGTGGAAGGCTGAATAGTAATGAAGGATGATCATGAATGAGTACTCAGCTACTACTAATGCAGGTTTTAAAAGCATAGGTTAAAAAGATGACAATTCACCTGTTGTTGAATGCTTCTTACTTTACTTTTTTTGTTTTGTTTTGTTTTGTTTTTTAAGCCTTCTGAACTTCTCTGGTCAAAATTTGACCAAAATCATAAGGTGTTTAAGTACCTGTAAACATTAATATCTCACTTGCTAAGTTTTGGTAATCAAAACAGTGTTTGTAGCTATCCTTTCTTCTCCCACTGACTAAATCAGTAGAAATATCTGGTAATGGAGACTTTAGAGTAGCCTTAATAATTAAGAAACATCTGTTTGCCTCAGGTAAAAAGAAAGTATTAGCTTTTTTGTGCTAATATGCCGTAATGTTGAGAAGTTTTAGTCCAAAGTAGATGGAGCCTGGACTTACACAACTTAATAAGGAACACAGGAAATAAATATTGCTACAGATTGTCCCAAATACCTATTTACTACATCACACGTAAATTTTGTATTAAAATTGTCTATATATGTACAAACAAAAATTTATTCTTAAAAAAAAAAAAAAGATAAAGCCTAATAAAAATAGTTTAGCAAAACAGGGAGTTCCTGGAATCTGTTTCCTGTTATGCACAAGTCATGGAAATACTGAATTCTGACTTGACAATTGCTGACAAGGTTACTTTCATTTCCATGAGAAAGTCTTAGCAGTTGGTTTCTGATGAAGGGAAAGGGAAGGACTCACTTTCTGTCATTCTGATTTATTTTGTATGCGGAGTGGTTGGCAGTATCTTACTGTAGGCTTATTTAAATGAGGTATTTACTTATGTTAGGAGTTTTAGAAGTCTTTCCTCTAACAGCTTGCTGTTAGGAGACGTGTACATTACATCTTCTCTTTTGCAGCATTGCCAAATGGTAAATCTCAACAAGAACACCAATTTCTGAATGGGATTCTGTTAACTCTAGAGAAAAAAAAAGGAGAAAACTGTTAGTAAAATGCTAAGTAATGAAATGGAGACCCCCATGGAGAGAGGACTACTTAAATTGTGCATTCTTATACACAGTTTTAGAGGGTTTTGTTCATTTTTGCAAAATTATCTCAGTATTAACCTCAACAGATGACAGTGTGCACCCCAAATTATATTCACAGAATGGTCTTTCAAACTGATCAGGAACTATACTGCGGATATCTCATAATTCTCAATCCTGAAAGAGGTTTCTCCAAGATCTAGGCAGCTCGTAGAGAAAGCTGCATCTGCCTCCCCTGGCTTTGTGTCTTAGCAGTCAATGGTACTTGCTTCTGAATGGGAGTGGAAGGTCTCAGTTTTCTTTTCCTGCTTAGTTACAGCATATATCTCTGTCTTTATCCTAAATACAAAGCCTTAATTTTGATTTGTATGTGAATATTTGAGTTAGTCTTAATAAAAATAACTACTAAATAAAGTAGTTGAGGGTGGACTGCAGAGCTTTTCTTATGCAAAAAAAAAAAAAAAAAAGTCTGCTGCCAAACCGCATTCGCTTTGTTAGGTATATGTCTCCAGAGATGCCTGGGGAAGGCATGATTTGTAGAATTGTCCTCAAGTTAGTTATCAGAACTCTTGATCATGTAACGTGCAAATAACTGCACAGTTAACGGGCAGTTTTGAGGTCTAGACATGTGTGTTTATAGGTGGAGCTTGATAGTGGTAAAATAGTCTGACACTTGGCATTGTATTAGTAAATGAAAACAGGTTTTATGGCTGTGCTGAATTTAAACCACATCGTGTTTCGGTTATGGGAGTCTTGCTGCTTTGTTTAAATATTAATGCATCTTTCATGTAATTTCTTGTATTAATAAATATTGAAAATGGATAAAAGATGTGGCTTTCAGAGGATTTTTTTTTTAATTTGGAAAATATCTGTTCTGTTTCTCTGCTATGTTTTTTCCTGTTGACAAGAGGTCAAGAATGAGTAGGACTGACTAAAAAACTTCACTTAAGTGGAAAAAAAATAGTTTATTTGCAGTAAATTTCACTTAAAGTTAGGGAACAAGAAAAGTTAGGAAACAGGAAGAAGACAGAAGTTTGCTGTGCTGAATTGTGTCATTTTGTCAAGCTTTGCAAAGTTAACGATTGTGGCAGATTATCAGTTCTCAGGAAGACCGCAGCCAGACATAGGGTCATGGCTACGCTTCCCTTTCTGTATTTCTCACCAGGCAGGAAATTTATGGTGCTCCCGTATAGAAAAGAATAAAAGCTACTCTGTTATGAAAAGTCACTTTCAAAGTTTATAAGCAGTCTCTGTTCAGCACATTGTGTGCAATGTATTGGCTGAGGTAGAAGAAACAGGGAAAGAGAGAACAACTCATAAAGGAGCATTTTATTGTATTTTTCTGGAAGAAATGCTTAACACTTGATGGTAAATGTTTATCTCTGGATTTGGACACAGTAATAACTTCAGAGTGGCTAAAGAGGTATTTAGATTTATATCATAATTGAAAATATCCATAAGGATTAGAGTCCTTCTGACGTTTCAGTAATGTGATGCATTCATTGGGGTTCATATAGAGTAAATACAAAAAGTTAATATGTACCTGTTACTACAACAGTAACGAAAAGTATTGTGTGCCTCAAACTGTGTGGAAGGATAGTTAGATAACCCAGAAAGGGTGTTGAAACCGTTTTATTTTTGCAGAGATCTTACTCATAATAAAAATATATATGGTTACCCCAGACATAATTTATTACTAGTTCTTGGTTATATTCCCTGCATGCCCAGTATGAGCATTGGATTTGGTATCGTCAGTTGCTCCGAACAGTTTATTGAACTTTTTCAGGTATATTAGTACCTGAAATACTAAGACTACATAACATAAATAAAAGCACAATTTATATATTTCCTGCTAGTTTGTGTTCTTATCCTTTGTTAAACTGTAAAATCCATATTCTGTAGATAGCTTTCCTTTTTGTAAGTATAAACAGTATAGCTCTGCTAATATTGTAGTTTTTACAGATCTTTCTGTGTTTGCAGTTATGCTAAACTGGCCTGCATTTTGATGAACTTTCTCAGGTTACAGCTTCCTGCAACCTTAGAAACATTTATTTTAAAATTCCTTTGCTGCTGTTTTGTTTTTTAATGCTTGGAACAAATAAAGCTAATATTCTCATTTCTGGATAGCAATCTGAATCCGTTTACCTTCATTGACCTGTTAATTGCGAATTTGCTTGTATATATTCATGGTATCCTTTAAGGGAGCTTCTTATATTAATGATGTGACTTCTGTATTACCTAATATTCTTCACATCTAACATAAGTTGCAAGATCTTCCATTCACTTGTAGCTGCTTTCGCTTAGGTTGCAGATTGCTGCCTGTCCCGAGCTTTCTGCCCCTGTCTCTTCTGCTTTAGCAGTACAGCTGTTTATGTCCTCATAGTGATTTGGATCACTGAGCTTTATTTGCCAGCTTTGTTCTTCAACTGTGTAAGTTCCCTAATGATGTTGGTTGCATAAACATGTTGTTTTAGAACAAAAGGACATAAATGATTGGCGGGATGTATGACTGTATCATCAAGCTCCCCTCATTGCAAACATCCCATCTTTCCTTCCTTTCCTCTCTAAACATATGTACAGTTTTCCCAAAGACAGTATTCCTGTAACATCTGAAGATGTTGTAAGGGAGGAGGGAAATGGACTCCCTGGTAGCAGCAGTGCTGCTGTGCCTTGCCTTCCTTTAGTCCCCATTGGTGCTTTCTCTTTTCTGGGAGAAGTACAGCCTGGTGTCGAAGCGATAACCTGGCTGAGTTTGTTAGCTGGTGGTTAGGACAGTGTCTTAGTTTTACTGGTGCTTTGCCTTGCTAACTGGAATGTGTTGTAAGTTTTAAAAACAAATTTAAGAACAAAGTTACCTGTTGGAAAGAAGAGATTAGTGGTTTCACAAATTTTCCAGAAAAAAGCAGAATAGCAGTGAAGTATGAAGAACGGGGGAGGTGTTTTATCAGATGGTCCCAAAATTTGAATTCCACTGTATTGTGAATAAGGAAAGATTTGACAGAATAGAAAAGGTAGGGAGTATTAGATGTTTTCAGTAAGGTAGGGAGTAAAAGAAAAAAAGGAGCCGAAGAAATAAAGAAGATAAGTGGTTGTGAATATAGCCTAGAAGTATATGAGAGGAGCTGTCATTAGGTTTGGCAGAGAGGGTAATACTGGCTACTTAGGTTTTGGTTCCAGTATTTTTATGTAAGAGACTTTTGTGACTAAGGGAGCTATTGGAGGTGGAAGGAAGGTTGAGGAATTAGGCATAACCATTCTGTTCCTGACGCGTGAAACTTAATCAGTTGTTAAAGGACATATGTTTTATACTTTGTTCTGTAATTGCTTTAACATGTTGTGTTTGATGGTTCTACTTTCTTTTAATTATACTTTAGGGGGAAAGGAACAATGGCTTTGACGTCCTGTATCACAACATGAAACATGGACACTTGTCAACAAAAGATTTAGCGGAATTTATTAGAGAAAGGTAAATATTTATCTTTGTTAGTCCTGGCTCTAACATGCAGTTTGTGATTTCTGTTTAAAGTTTATTGTTATGTGTTGCAATAACATGCAAAATAGATATAGAAAGCAGTATGAAGTATCTCATACTAGAGTATCTAGGCTTATTGCATTCACTTATAACTAAATAGGAACTATTAATTATCAATTAATAACCAACTTCTAATTTAAAGGGTGATCTAAATCATAAATGTAGAAAGATGGAAATGTCAGATTAAGTGTTGAGCTGTTATGTTTAAATTGATCTCAGTTTTTCTTCATGTTTGGAAGAAAACGAATAATTTTTCAAGTAGTAAAAATTATCTCATTCCTTCATGGGTTTTGACCAGAGATACAGAATTAAAATATTAACAATAGTCAGTAAAATCTTAAAAATGATGCCATTGGATTAAGAAGGGAGAAAGTTATTTGCACATGATGTGGAACTTTATAAAAAGTGTGAGTTTAATGTGTAATTAAGTTACTGTGTTATACAACTTCCTTTGGTTAACATTTAAAAATAACATGCCTAATGCCCTTCTTCAAAAACTGACTGTCTGTTGTGGTGAAAGTTCAGTAGATTTAGATATGTGCTCCTCTGTCAAAGTTTCAGGTGACACTACGACTTCATTTCCTGTTTCAAAAGGAAATTCTTTGTGCTTGAGAAGTGTACTAATTATTGCTAAGAATTGTTAAAAATAGAGGCAAAATAACAGGGAAGAGAGGAAACATTTTATGCAAATTCTAAGCTCTTGGATTTTTTATATTTATATAAATATTTTAAAATCATATTAATGTGCTTTTGCATATAGCTTTTGTGAAGTTATTAATATGTTGCTGTTTTCAGCTAAAGTAAAAGTCCTATGCTCTGATCTTTTAAAATGCGTATCCATCTGTCTTCACAATTGCATTGATTATGCTCTTGATTACTTTCATTGACAGGGCTACAATAGAGGAGGCGTACTCGAGGTCAATGACAAAACTAGCCAAATCAGCAAGCAATTACACACAACTTGGGTAAGTAAATGTGTAAAAGCGGAATAATTCATTGCATGAGTGTTAGGAATCCAGTTTGATTCTCACTTTTTTATTGATGATGTTGAAGGATAAATGGGTACCATAACTTTACCTCTTTAAAAGCAATGCACCATGCAACTCTGACCAAAAAAAACAAGAAAAAAAAAGGAAAGAATGGACAGTACAGGTCTAAACTTGTGGTTATAAAAAGACATGTAGGAACTGTGAAAGAACAGAGTGATATAGAACATGACTTTCTATTCCGTTTACCCAAGCATGTGAGGAGAGAGCATATGGTCAGCAAGTGTGGCAGTAAATTTATTTCCATTATTGCTCTATTAATGCTGTAATAAGAGATTTTAAGAATGAGACTTTTCAATGATATTGAAAGACCTATTCCATAGTTAAAATTTTTTAATTCCTGAAAATCTTATACACAAGGTATGAATTTAAAAATTAGAATGATTAATGGATTTTTTTCATTAGAAAGATCATGCCAGCAGCTTAGTCTTCTTAGATGATGCTAAATATTTTTTTTATTATTATTATTTGTGATAATTCCTTCTGGAAATTTACAGAACCTTCGTCAGTGGGTAGTTTGATATGAGTTATTGCTGCTCTTCAAAAGTTCATTATCCGCATGTAAGCAGATAATGCTATAATATAATAACTATCAGTGCTGTAAAGACTATCCATGGTACTTATTTTTTAGCAGCATTGGTGAAGAAGCTATTGTAGGAGCATATCTGCAGAATTGTTGATGTAGTTCATTCAGTAGAGAAATTGGTATGTGAGGCATGACCTGACCTCACTGTCCTTTACCATATGATTAATTTCTCTTATTTAGTAAGTCACTTTTAGACACAAACCATCTTTGTCAATTTTTTTTCCTGCTTCTTGCTGCTGTGATGATTTAGAACAACTGGAAATCAACTAGCAATTTTGTCTGTGTGTCTTTGTGTATGCGTTATTCAAGTATATACATGGAAATATTTTTCCAGATTCAAAGTTTTATTTATATATGTGTGTGTGTGTGTGTGTGTGTATATATATATTTAGCTGATCTTGCATCATCTTGCCATTCACGTGTACTGAAGATAGGGAGGACTGCGTGAACTTCCCTGTTTCATTTGTACTGATTCCAACATGGCTAATGAGTGAGAAACAGCACAAACTAGTTGGAAAAAAAGCATAGTTGGAACTTATTCAGTAATGTAATTTATAGAAGTTTGGGATTGTGTCTTTTTTCAGTTTTAGGAATGGGCCTGAACTTCTGTAAAAATGTTGCTGAACCTGTAGCACTATTAAAAAAAAAAAAAAAAAAAAATGAAACTAATCAAAGCGAAAAGATCCAGATGAGCATTAAATGTATATGTTATTTTCCCCTAGGACATTTGCACCTGTTTGGGATGTTTTCAAAACCTCAACAGAAAAACTAGCAAGCTGTCACTTGGATCTTGTACGAAGATTACAAGAGCTAATAAAAGAAGTTCACAAGTATGGCGATGAGCAACTCAAAGCTTATAAGAAGGTTGTTGATTCTTCATATGCATGTACAGTCCCTTGTTAACAGTGGAATTAAAAATGTTTGGTTTTGACATCTGTGTGATATTTTACAGACTAAAGAAGAAGTTTCAGGAACATTGGAAGCAGTGCAGAATATTCAAAGTATCACTCAGGCCTTACAAAAGTCAAAGGAAAACTACAACACAAAGTGTGTCGAGCAGGAAAGATTGAAAAAAGAAGGCGCAACCCAGAGAGAGGTTGATAAGGTATCAATGCAATAATTGTACATCATACAATAATTGTGTTTTATGACTTCTACAGATATTATCTATAATTGTTTCAGAATTATTCAGTTTTTGGATAATTTTGCTGTAAGTACATATGCAAACACTTGATGCTCTTGTTTTTGAATTAAGGAAAAAAAAATGTTCTTTCCCTTCAGCTGGGCCAGTGTAGCTAATTATAGGAGTATTTGATGTCTGTCCCATTAAGGAGGAAAAAAAAGTTAATGTTATTTTTTGTTCTAATTTAAGATGTTCCTATTATATGCACCAAAATCCAGATTTTGTATTTAGAATTTTCCTTGGTTCACTGGGCAAATTTAATCCATCCAAGCAACATAGGTAGTAGGGGGAAGTGGTCTTGTTTCCCTGTCCCTGATTATAACTTATCTTTCTTTTTGAAACTTGATACCTCTGTATATCTCATTTTGATTTATCTAATCTGTCTGGAGACTCTGCCCCTGTTAGAATGGTTTAGTGCTTTTTTTACTGCTGTGTTCAGTAAGTTGATAAAACAGTTGATTATTATCTTTTCACTCATACTAAAAGTGATCCTTTTGAGCTTGTTCTAATTGTTTTCTTTAATGTAAACCTACCTTTTTTCCTATCTTCTGTCTCAGCTTACAGTGTTGGGTTTTAAGAATGAGACAGAAATGTGTAGGATGACAGTATTTTCTGGTAAACTATTCAAAATATATTTTTTCAGAATTCTTGTAAAAAGATTTTAAACTTTTCAGTTAAGAAAGGTTCAATTTACGGAAGACTTGTTTTTAATACAGAGTGCTATAATCTTTTGTCCATTAGAAAACAAAAATTGTTCAGTTTGGGTTGTCTACCTACTGCAGATAAAAAGAGGAAACATTGTAGGGTGACATACATGAAGGCTTTTATCTGCTCTTTCGTGTCTGTTCCCTCAATACTTTTGTCAGAACAATTAGGCCATAGTTGAGTGCTCAGCTGGTACTTCAAAAAGCTGTTTCCAGTGGAAGCTGTTGGCTTTGGCAATCTCTTTCTTTCCAGTTACGTTTTTACTGAAATTCATCCTCGTCGTTTCAGGGAGCCGGTAGCAGGTTGTGTCCTTCAATTTTCCTCAGCCTAGGATAGGGTTATTACTTTCAGCAGACCGTGAAGAATGGTTGTTTCAAAATCACAAGATAGCTACTTTATCACAAAGCATGGAATAAAATGATACAGTAGCAAATGCCTTTTAAGAGCTTATTGTAAGGCCAAATATTTGGAGAAATACTTTATTGTAGTCTGAGGAGGAATCTTACAGAAAGATATGACATTACATTAAACTAACTGAAGCTGAAATTTAGTGTTAGCTTGCATAATAATTTCCTGTTGTTTCCTGACGTGTCAACTTCTCTGTTTATAATGATTGCCAAAAAACTGTTGTGTGATGCTCACGTATTCAGTTACTGTAAGTCTGCTACAGAGAGTTCTGGCAATTGCTACACCTGAGAATACACACATCCTGTTTTCAGAAGAGATTATTGGTTACTCATGTGGCTTTCACATGTTTGACCATTTTGTGTGTCCTGCTGAATAATCACTTTCCGATAAATGCTCTTCAGCACATACCCTGATCATTCTGCTTATAGTTAGACACAGTTACAAGAGGTAGAAAATGTTCCAGTTTTGTGTCAAAATGTCTTGTATATGTGGTTTCAGTTCCATGACGCTTAACAAAAAAATCTGATTTTTAAGTCTTGTAACTTTGCGTTTCCTTTCTTTTCAGTGATTAAATTTAGAATCATCTTAACTGCAAATCAACCTATATTCTTTTTGAAACCAGATGGTTAATAAAGCTCTTTGTACTTTTGCTATAGTAAGTGGTATCTGGGAAACAAGACGGGACCCTTTTCTTCCCTAGGAATTCTTCTATGAGGAGGTGCAAGAGTGGAAATAAAGTTCAGGGGAAGTAATGGATGATTGTTACATCCTGCCATGCCATCCTTAATGGCTAAAGGATCCTTATGCACAATCTTTATATGGGGTAGTATTTTCAAGTTGCCTCTGTTGTTATGTGTTTACAAGGCTACATGAGTAAGCTTTGCTTAAGCAGTCTCTGTAACGGGGAATTTGCTTATGAAACTGCAGCTTCAGTTTTCTTTTGAAAGCCTGGTTGCTGTTTTCCTAGTTGAATGTCTGTTAGCCATGTACTATTTTTTTATGATTTTCAGTTATTTTTCTCTTTAAAACTCCAAAGAAAAATATCTCTTTCCCGAGGGCATCTTCATTTTAATTTCTCTCGGTATTTAATTTCTTACTGCAAGTGACAAATAGTTGCCTTTTTTACTATGGGACTGATAATATTCATTTGAAAGAGGGGGGAAGAGCTATTTAAAAACAGAACAAATAGAAAATATGTATTATACAACAATCTCTAGTCATGTCTTCTAAAACTTCTAAAAATGATCATTTAATTCAGTTTTGCTGTTAGTATAATTTTTTCCTGTATTTATTTTTGTCTTTTAAGAATGTTAAGCCCACAAAAAGATATTTTTGCTTTAATGTACAAAATTGTAGTAGTGCACTGTTTGTACTGTATTCCAACCCTGCTTTCTTCATTCTGTTTTCTGCATCTTAGACAAAGGAGCTAATTGGTTAAATTCAGCAGTGGCAGTTTTAAAATGTTGATACCAAAATATGTTATAAAACAGTCATTGCTGAAAAGCAGCCGGGATTTAAGTGGGATAACTAATTATTATACATAGCTATTATTTTTAGAAGTGGTTATATGTTTCATGAATAGATATCTTTCGAGGCTTGAACCTGAGTTACTTGGTTGTAAAATCTTGTTACAACATTTCACTGTTTTGATATGCGCCTAATTTTTTTAATATAAGTCATTATAGGCTAATTACTGATCATGACTTTACAAGTGCTGGAACAGAGTGGATGTGTAACAGGTGACAGTTTTTTCTTTTGTTTATTTTAATTCTATAGGCAGCAGTTAAATTGAAAAAAGCTACAGATACCTATAAACTATATGTGGAGAAATATGCTGGGATTAAATCTGATTTTGAACAGAAAATGACAGAAACTGCACAGGTAAGTGTGCTTTTAAAAGGTGCCCTTTAAAGTGAGTAATTTCATTGCCTCGCATTCAGAGTTGATCTGAAATCAAAGCTTTTGGAAAATCAATTCAAGATAGAATGTCCTTTGAAAACTGATGTGAATTACAATGTTAAAAGTACTAGTAGGCAAATATTAACTGACCATATATATTGTGTGGTGCAACTGTTGACATTGCTGTATAATTCATATAGGTTCATATAGGCATTCTAGAAAGTCTTTATGGAGTTTTTTTAAGAAGAAAGCAAAATGAACTTCTGGAAGTATTTTGAATTCGTGGTAATAATGTGGGAAAATATGTGGGTTGCTGGTGTAGCAGAATTCAGATAGGAGTTTTAGTACTGGGATCTGTCATCCTTTTTCGTTATTTTTCCAGTCAAGCCCTTCAGTTACAGCTTGCTAAAGCACCTTCCAAGTTGGTTAGGCGTTTTGATGAGAAATTCCTTTTTGAAAATTCTTCGTGTTTTTCCTTATTTTCAAAGGGTTATTTTTAGGTATGGAAAAATTATGGGGGAGATTCCAATGTATTTTTATTACTAAAGTAGAAGTGGAAAAGTGTTACAGTATTTTGTATGGCTATGGGAATGAAGACTTTGCAGCATGGAGATTGTGTAGGCTGGCATGTGAAAAGCCACCCTATCCTGAACTATAAACTGCCTTCCTGCTTCCAAAATCTCACAGAAAAAGATCTAGTTCATCCCTGAATAGACCTTCAAAACAGCTGTCATGAAGAGGATACCAAACATGTCACATACCAAACCCCCACCCCAGGCATTTGTACCAAGAAAGACGTCTAGCATATCGCTGCAAAATTCTTCCTTTAGATGACTTACATGAGCTCTTGTAAAACCTTTCATTGAAGGCTGTCAGTAGGCATCTTTTTCCAATATTCTGACTAGGATCTCATTGGAAGATTTGTGCCCCTTATGTTTCCCCTTTCCATTTGAGTTAAATTTGTGAAGTACATTATTTTTCTCTCATTTAAAAAAATGATTGTTTTTTTAAGTACTCTGTGAGTGTAGTATGTAATTGTGCCTTCTTTGCATAAGTTAGTGATGATTGAAGTTCTTCACTAGTATTGGAAGGCTTTATAGAGAAAAATTCACCAAGGAAAACTCATAGGTACCATGGTGGTCTAGGCTATATGGTTTGTTGTACTTCTTTCTCTCCTCTCTGATGTGTGAGACTGCTTTTTCTATTATATATTTTAAGTGAGTTTTACTGTCAAAAGCAACAGTTGACCTTGTGGTATAGTCCTGTCTTTGTCAAGTATGTGGAGTTGCGTCGGAGAACTACTGCTGATAAACATAATGTAGTAAGAAAAGTTTGCTGTAGCGCAGGGCACTTCTTGGATTCGGTTTAAAAGGTCACACAGTGTTTACGGTGACATAGAGGAATCGGCAACGTGGACTTGCATCTCTAAGCATTCGTGCTGGCTTCCAGTATGTGACATTGCGTCCTGTATACGCTTGAATAGGTGTCATCATTACACATCTGTTGCCGTAGGACTGTGTATGTGAAAGGTGATGTATTTGTGGATTGGTTATTGTAGGCAGTTTGAGACAGGCTGGCATTGGCATGTGTGATTGTGATCATCTGAGAACTTTGAGACTAGGCTGCGTTTTAAAATAACAAAAATACCTGCACGTATTTTAAAATCGTGATTGTTGGAAACAAGCCTAAATTAAGTTAACAAAAGAATCTCTACTACTGCAGTGTAACATCGCTTCTGGAAAGTTTCCTCAGTAAGAATAGGTGGAAGCACCCTGACATGTGAGCACATACTGCTGTTATCCAGAGTGGTGACTTTTTGTTAGTGTTCCTGATAGCCTGGCTATTGTAATCACTCAATAAACATTCCAGTAACTGCAGCAGTGTGCAGAATGTATACATTACAGTGCAGCCTGACTTTTGCTGTAGCTCCCCCTTCTAATACTAAGAGATAAAGTAGGAGCAGAAAAATACTGAGCTGTTCTGGTGGAATATTTTTCCAAATCCCCACTGAAATAGATCCTGGAAAGGCTTCTGATCCATTTCAAGTTCAGCCAGGTTGTCCATCAGTAATCTTCTAGTCTCACATAAACTGTCTGCTGTCATGTGTGTGCCCTGCATTGCAAGAGACTCTTTGTAGCAGTTGATTTTATTGCTCTCTGAAACAATAAGAAAATACTTAAGTAATACAACTTTAATAAACTAGCCTTGCTAAACTGCGCTGTAAACTTGTCTCCATTGAGCAAGAGCGCTTTGAGTAATGTGAAAGAAGTTCTTGTTTCGAACTGATGCAAGATAAACATGAAGAGTATTTGAAATGGCTTTCACTGTCAGTGAGTTACTGAAGGAAAATACAGGGGCTTTCAGCAAGCAAACCAGCTGGGTGTTCTTGGTGTGCTAAAAAAAAAATCCATTTGAACATCCACTACCACAAAAGTGATAGAGTTTATTTTGTACTTAGAGACAGAATATGAAGGTGCTTTTTGCTATTTTTTCTTACTTGTGCTATTAGGAGTGTATTATGTATTAAGTATATAAAACTAACTGGAAAAATAAGATTATGCTATTAGGTTTTTTTTTTTTTTTTTTGAAAAAGGAGTACAAATTACTTCTCATTACAATCCATATTTGTCTTATCTACTTAGTTCCTTGTCTACAACACCCTTTTACTCTAAATTAAAAATTTTAAATTAATGGACAACTAGAGTCTTTAATTTCCTGTCTTCCACACCTACTCATACAGGAAAATAAAATCAGAATTATGTCAATGAAAGCCCTGCCTACCATTATATTTTTGCAATGTAGGGATGTAGCTGCATTTGCAGTTTGGTGGAAGGATTGCCACTTAATGTACAATGTCATAGGAAAAATAGCAAAGCTCATGGAAATGTGGAAGCCCTCTTTAAATCAAATATACCATAGGTTATCTTAGTTTAGAGCTTGTTTCACTTCAAATTAGTAGCTCTGAAACAAAATAAATGAATGTGCTCATTCTTAGCTGTTTCAGTACAAAATCCTTTGGCTAAAATTCAATCTGTCTTAGGCTGTTCAGATAAAATTCTTCAAAGGACACTCACTAGCACCTTGAGCTGCTGTGTTCTGAGTAAAAATTTGCTAAAAAATGCGCTAAGGACACTTAGCTGTCCTTTCTTTGACTCTTCAGCCCTTTTGCTTCTGCTTTTTTTTCTTTTTTCTTCTTTTTTTGGTCAAAACTATCTTGTTTGCTGTTATCAAGAGGGAAGTGACTTGTGATGCATGAACTTGAAAAGTTGAATTGTGAAGCATGATCCTGCTAATCTTGAGCTAAATTGTAGTTTACGTTGCAATAAACATGGAATGTTTTTGTTTGATAATGTGCAAAAACATAGTTCGTTTTCTCTTCTTCAGAAATTGATACGACATTCTTCCCGATGAAAGATTTTATGAGAAAAGTTATAATGGTTATATAATTGTAAAGAAAATATAATGTTAAGGATTTTTTTTATGCCAGTTATCCCACGTGGCTAGAAGCTTTGTAATTTGTTTCTAATCATGTAGTACAATCAGTCACTGGAAAAGATCAAATAGCAGAAAGTGTTAAAATATTCTTTCAAAATGTTTCTGTTAACTGGACATATGCAGTCTGCATATTAAAAAAAAGTACAAGAAAGTAAGAACTCTCCATACTATATGTTTTAGAAGTCACAGGAAAATGTGTTTAGTAAAACAGCACGTTTGCTGAGTTGAACAACTAAAGATACTGCTTATGACTTTTTTTTCATTTTTATTATAGCTTAAAATACTAAAAAGTGACTTAAAATTGTGCTGGGTCATTGATATCAAGATCCATTTCAATACATCTTTTTTAACATGGACTGATTTTTCAAAAATTAATCTCGGATATGCTGTTCATATATGCAAGTAAACCATAATGATGATGTCCGTGGTTTTAATAATGTTCACATTATAGTTCTAGATACCTTTAGCCTTAGATCAGAGCCCTTTTGTGTTATGCACAGTACGAGGTCAGGTGGCTTCTACTTCTAAGTCTGTTAGCATAAAATGAGAAATCAGGAAATAACAGTGTGGGAACTACAGAAAAATCTGTGAGTGGCCGGCAGTGTAGGCCTTCTGACACACCTAAGGGAGAAGAGGTGGAGGGAAGATGGCATGTCGGTTTTGCAGGCTTTTACAGAGAGCTTGAACCAAACGTAAAGGAAGCAGCACTGGCATAATCTCTAAAGTTCAGTTGGAGTTTGAAATTCACGTAATGCAATGTGGATGGTGACTTGCGTGCAAGTGTTGATGGTGAATGAGATGATTTTATAGAGATGTGCCGGAGGAAGCTTTGAAAGCAAAATGCTTTATGTGATCACACAACTAGTAAAAGCAAGGTCAAAAAAGAAACTATAAAATTATGAGGGTGATTATAAGCTCTGTAGTCAAGGTAAGGGTACTGGAGAGGAATTTAGATCTCCTTGTTGAGGGCTACGGAGTCGTATAAGTATGGCAAGAAAAAAAAAACAACTGAGTTCAGGAGATAGGCATGAGAGAGAGACATTTAGTGTGTTTGTACAGAGCTGTTCTTGTGTTCGTGGATCAGAGTGCGAGGAGGTGAGAAAGATAGAAGATCCTCAGAGAAACCTCTGAAGGCAGAAGAAAGGATTAGTGGTGCTGTGAGGGAGACGCTTGGAGGGCATTTACTCAAGTAGGAAGAAAGCTAGGAGAGCAAGATTTCAATAAGATTATGGTTGCCTGTTAAGGAAGGTGAGGAGAGTATTAGTGCTGGTCTTTGTCCGGGAAGGGGTCTTTCGATTTTAAAATGGGTGTCAGATGAAAGTCTGGGAAAGATAGAGCTGGAGGACAAATTCCAGACAGTGTCTGCAAAGACTATTTACAGCAAGTGTGAAGATCAAACAGATGGATCATATTTAAAGATGCAAATGATGTAGATTGCTGAAGAAGACCAAGCATGTGTGTATCACGAGTGGGAGGAGGAAGCCTTCAGGAGAAGGTGCAAAGGAGATCTAGAAATAGGATTATGGGGATTAGATGAGAAAAGGAGATGAAAATCTTCAGTGATCGGGAAATTAGATTTTAAAACACCCTTCATCTCTATTTTCTTTTGAAAGAAATAGATGAGATTTTGTATAAGGAGGAAAAAATCAAGATAAGTAAAAGATTAAACAAGTAATAAAATTACAGCTATGATGGCTTATGGTATCCTCTGCTACACACAAGCAGAAACACTTTTCATTGGAAGTAAAATGCTCTATAGTATAACATTGTATATGCAAGGTATTGGAAATCTGTACTTTTAATATAGTTTACTTGCTCTTTACCTATTTGCTCATATTTGAATTAGCTATCTGCTGATATTTATGATTTTTAAACACAGCAGAATTTAGATTACTCTTTAGAACCCCAACAGTTGAACAGATTCTGTTCTAAAAGGAATTTTATTAGAATTGCAAATGGATGTTGTGTTTTTAAGTAACTAATTTAGTAACTTCATGAATTCCAAACCTCCCTTTCTTAATCACTGCTTGCCATGGCCAAGGTCTGAAAATGTAATTGATTATTTGCTTAGTATATTTCATAATTAAGATACTCTATTTCAAGGGTTGTTTTAATTATAAATAATGATTTGTATCTGATTTACAGAAATTTCAAGACATTGAAGAAACACATCTTCTTCATATGAAAGAGATAATAGAATCATTGTCAAATACCATAAAAGAAATTCATTTACAAATAGGAGAGGTAATTTTATATGAATATTTTTATTTAACTATAATATGTATTTTTCTGAAATATATGTTGAAACATTTCTTACTGTATTGACAGTATTGCACCTTTCACATGATAGTAACTTTTTAAAGCAGAGGGAGTTGAAGGAGATGAACAGAATTAGTCTAGGGGTTCAAGCAAGGTTTTGAAAAAGATATGGGTCTTTTTGCCAGGAACATCAAAGATTATATGGGTTTGGACGATATTTGGAGGACCTTTCAGTTTCTACTAAATTCATTTAATTAAATATCTGAATTAATAACGATGCCTGTATGTGCATCCAAACAAATTTCTGAAAGTTCTTGTGCTTTTCTTTAACCAAAAACTTAAATCACATCAGTTGAAAAGTTTCGAAGTTTTAAATATGCTATTTTGGGGAAAAAAAGTTATTCAAAACAGTATTTTTAAAAGCTTTTAGAGTATCATTTCTTCAGATGCAATCCTTTTTTTTTAAGTAATAATTCTTAAAAGTATTCTTTTCTGATATGTTGAAACATAGTTGTATTTGTGAATGTTCAAAATTGGAGTCACCATGCCGCTCACTTAATTTTGAGATTTTCTCCTGGCATGTGGTGATCACAAGGGTAATGCTGTTTATTTCTAAACCATATCTCTACCACACTGTTGGAAAGGCTTTGTGGTGTTAGCCTGTGTTTCCTTCCTTGCCAGATCAAATACGCTCCAGCAGGAATGCTTTTACTCAGGCAGGTGGGCAGGGTGATAATGCAGTGGTGAATGTGCACACCACGGTCACACCCATGCTGGACTGACTTAGGAGACTGTCTCTCTTTCTGACACTGGAGTGGGACATGGTACTGTCAGAAACTCAGAAAACTGTACATACAAAAGTGGTTTAGAGTCAAGAAATGGAAGTGTCCTAGACCAGCCACCTTTTAATATATTCTACAGGGCAATATTTTGAAGATTAAACCTAGAGAAAAGCATGTTTTAAAGCTAATCACCTTCTTTCAATTGCTGCATTTTACCTTCCTTTTTTTTCCTTTTTCCTTTTTTTTTTTTTTTTTTTTGAAGGTGCATGAAGAGTTTATTAATAACATGACAAACACTACAGTTGAGAGTTTAATACAGAAATTTGCTGAATCAAAAGGAACTGGCAAGGAACGACCTGGTAAGAGATTAAAAGAACAGGAAATGTTAATTTTGAAACTGCTCGTTTCCACTCCTAGTGCAAGTTCAAATCCTGTGTTACACATTTGCAATGTATTTACCAGCTGAAGTTCCCATAGTTTGTTTAGCTTTGATATTAAATGATTCATAAAAATTCAACAATATATAATTTATTGCATATGTGTAGAATGTGTGTTCATTAGGAGGGCAGTGGTTTGTAGAGCTGACTCCCTGTATATAAGCCTTCAAAGAAACTCTTAAAACTGCAGTGTTGGATAGTTCACCATAAGTTCCTTTCACAGACTTACTCTGCTATGTGCGTAGTATGGACTTTACTATGTATTACTCTACTGTACACAAAAATTACCTCCACATTTTATTTAAGAAGTTTATAATCAGGATATATTCAGATCAGATGACTATAAAGCTGTTCACACAACTCCTGGAACAGTTGCATCATTTTATTTTGTTAATACTCAAAATCCAGTATTTTAATACATTATACATAGATTACTCATTTTCTCTTTACTAAGAAGTAAATTCATAGCACTTGCTGAAAGTTTTGTTTATTGGCATGGTATATAAAACTTCCCCAGATTGGTATCAGAAGGGAATCTGATAGTACATCTGTCTATCCTTTCAGGAAAAACACATGATTCACTTTAATATCTGGACATGAGTACCTTGTTATCTAAGTATGCGATTACAGAAATTAGGTAGTACCACTTTTAAAGTTGGAAGTCCTGATTAGCATCTCTGCTTTCTAACACAGAAGCTCATAGGTTTTCTTCAGAGCAAGGGTAACATAACAAGGTAGATCTTGAGCATTAATGCTAAAGTGGTAAATAAGGGTAGTGGCTATCTTATTATGCCTCTCTGCTACAGTAGCTAACAGAGGACCTCTGTTGGGTTCTATAACCTGGCATTGTTTCTGTTCTCTCTGAAACCTGATAATGCCCATACAAGAGTAGGCTGAGGTAAGATTGTACACGACACTACTTTTTTAGTATTTACTGTAAATTTACCTTTTTTTTCCAATGAAGCATAAGAAAGAAAAAACATGAACTTTAGGGATTCAAGCTTACTTGAACCAATGACAGGACAGATATGAAAATTCATTATTCACTACTTTCGTAGTAGCTGTTAAATATGTTGCGATTGTGTACACAAGTACTTGCTGCTTCACAGAGTTCATCAAATCATATTTGTATTCTCTGCGGTCAAATTAAAGCTTTTTTCATGCCAAATTTAGTTTTTTTCAGCCATACAGCTATTTTGACTGCAAAGCATTTTAAGTAGAGTTTACATTTTCGTTGTGCAAATGTGCACACTTTTTTTTCTAGACAGTAACATTATTGTATTTGCATAAACATACAATAGCCGTGGTACAGAGGGAAAATATGGGTGAGTTCTGCAGAAAAAGAATATGTTCAAAGATAGGAGGTAAAAATACTCTAATGCTAATTTTGGTTGCTACTTCTTATTGTATTCACTTGATTCACTTAAAATCAGATCTACGCTTCAGACGATTACAAAGAATTAGAAGGCAAAATGAGATCCCGGTCCTCCAAGAAACAGAATACTGGTCCCTCTAAACAGAAACATGCAGTGTGGGAGAGACTGCCTTTTTTAATTCAATCTGCAATTAACAACTGTTGTTAATAGCAGGTTATTCTAACTCATGAAGCATCCACAAGGAGGCTTTCTGGGATGCAAATTAACCCATTAGGATGGAGAAGGAAGGGGCTTTTCTGTTAAATCTTAAAATACTCAGTGTGTAAAAATGCTGAGGTCTAGTTGATTTGCTACGTAGTGGGGAAAAAAAATCTTCTGACTGTCACAGTTGCTAAAAATTCAAGTCTTGAATCTTTTTACTATACAGGCATTCTTCCTTCAGCTTCCTAGATCTCTTTTTTCCTACCATATAATTTGTGGGCTAAAATACTGCATCAGTTGGTGGGTGGCATTCTGAAATACAGAATTTGGAGAACAAATTAGTAAACTAGAAGAATAATGGAAAAGAAAGTATATTTTATTTTTAGTACATTTTAGCTGTATTTATAATACTTTAAACCGGAGTTCACTTATTTTCATGTGTAAAAATAAGAATGAATCTGAGGGAAGGTACCGTAGGGGGGTTGTGATGTTGTGTGGATTGTGAGCAATTAACAGCAAAGCTCTCTGGATATAGGCAGCTCTTATCTGCATCTATGAAACCTCTCTGTTGTATGGTTGTAGTCTTTGTCCTTTACATTATATGGGCTCCCTCTGGTGGCTGATCTGTTGCCCGAAGATTTAAAAAAACACATGGGCTTTCAGAGTTTAATGCACTATTTTCTAGTACAAATAATGGTTTAGTTGACACCTTCAAGTCAGGCATCAGGTCAGAATTTAATATGTTTTCTGAGCAATTTGTAAAGATACACCTACTTGTTGGTCTATGCCATTTGGAAGATGTTTTTATCACTAATAAGGTGCTACAGAGTTGCCAGCAAACCACTTAGCCCCAGGTCTGAGTCATTTCAGATAAGTGAATTTTCTGTTTGTTCCAAGTTACTTCTCCATGCTCCTTGGAATATCCCACTGACAGTATGGTGCAAAGTGTCCATTTCTTCCATCTAGCATGTTTGTTTAAACAGAGGCAGAGCTGATTAATATTCCAGATGAGTGACAGACTGATGGCTTCTAGCTTTATTTACTGAATCTTCTAATCATCCATGAAGCATTTGGTTTCCCTGTTATTCCAGAATAAAAAGTTGATGGTGCATAAAATACACACACAGTGCTCCAAAGTGTGACCTCTTGTTCTTCTAAGATCTTCTCTCAGAAGTTGGCAGGATGTTCTATCATACACTGATGGTGTTTGCAAATACCCATGTAGCTGTGGCAGAGTTATGAATGATTTTCCATGTTTAGCTCTGGCATTACTGTGCTCTCCTCTCATGCGTGAGTCAGCTGTGCTTGCGTGTCCCTATGTAAGGTTTTGCCCACTGCAGTGTACCCAGAAGCCAACGTTAAGGCTGAATGTGGAGCCTCAGCTGTGCTGCGTTGTCTTGTCTCTGCTGCTTGCTCTTGTCCAAAAAAAAAAAAAAACCACCTTTAACCCAAAAGTTTAAGGTCATGGGTGTAAGTTTAAGGTTATGAGTGTTAAATGGATATACTGACTCAGGAAAAACTTTTTTTTTTTTTTTTTTTTTTTTTTTTTTTNTTTTTTTTTTTTGTCATTCTGAATTTCTTCTCTTGGGAAGACTATTTAGTATTTTAGGATTGAGAAATTAATCTGTGACCTAGGACAGCTATTGTCAAGATCTACAGTGCTTCACAGGAGAGGTCATATTAAAGAAAAATATACCACTTGGCATCTTTGTCACTGCACTAGTGATCCTGGTTTGTTCTTGGGGACATGTTGGGAACCTCTGTTTCTGGAGTGCTAGCACAGTTTGTGTTTTAAACTCATAAAACACAGCTTTTTTTAGTCCCAGCATTCATACTGAAAACAGTGTCCTGTTTTCACAGGCCCCCAAACTCTTGATAAACCATTATGTTTATCATTTGTATAACAGTCAAAACTAATCTAGATTCATTAACAAGTTCATTAATGCTGCCAGCATTTCCTGTAGCCAAAGTCATAAAGCAGCAAAGCTTCAATTCAGTAAGCATATAATAAACAAATTCTCCACTTTAATGCCACTGATTTCTCATTCATTTAATTCAATTGTGTTATGGTTTATTTAGTTAGGATAATGGATTATATGCTTGTAAGTCGTAGGGGTGTGCAAGGTTGAGGTGTGAATTTATGGCATCTTTTCAGGCACGCTCAGGCTGTTGGCATGAGCATTTCAGTCTCCTGAGTGCCTGGGCAGCCCGGCTTAGGTGTTTCTCCAAAGGGAACGCCGGAGCGCAGAGAAGGGCGGCAGCGCTGCTGGGAAGCTGGAGCTGGCAGCCACTGGCCTGCACCAAATTCACAGTTACTCTGTGTTAACGCCCCCATTTAAATTAGTATATGGTGTTAAACTCTATCTTCTAATGAGGAAGTTTAAAAGATGACTCGAACAGCAGAAGAGAAACAAAAAGGGTCAATTACTCCTGAGAGATTTTAGAAGCAATTTTGTCCTTTTCCCAGGGCTTGAGAAACAAAATAAGGGCCACTGAGTATCGGAACTTGCTTTGATTAAAGCTACTAGCTTTTCATGTGCTTGAATAATAAACTGTGTTTAGAGAGAGGGAGACTTGAAACGGAGCTGGGTGTGGTATATGTTCTTCTGTGGGTTAGTTTGATAACATAATAGTTTATGGGGTTTATGAAAACGTTTTTCAAAGAAGTTAAACAGCAACAAAGTAGTTAGAAATAAACACCAAAAACAATTAGTACGAGTTTTTGAACAGCTCTGCACGATATCTTTGAGCTTCTTTTCCTCAAGGAAGTATAACAAAGCAAGTATTTTATGTTCTTATAAATAATTTTCTTCATATTCTCTGTAAATATTTTGAATATTTTGATGCTGCCGTCACTTATGAATGGGCGCTTAGATAGCCGAAAGTCTCTCAGTTTCTCAAGAAGGAACAGTCCCCATAGTGGTTGATCTGGAAAGATGGGGGAAACTTACCTTTTAAGCATCTGTACTGTAGTTCGTTCAAGTTCTAGACTTGAATGTTGGAGTCAGAGTAGAGTAGCAGGCGGAATCCTTTAACACGAAAGCTTTTTAAGGAAAAATGTCTTAAAATAGAGCACTTTGTACAGGATAGGGAGGTTGGAGTTTATGTCCCACCCGTCTAAAAAATGAAGTAAATTTTGAACTATGTATGTAGTTACACTTCTTACACTTGTCATTAAGTTGCACGTGCTGAATTCGACTTCTAATTAACATCTGATTAATAATTTAATTGCCTGTAGTACTTTCTACCAGGACAAACTACCACTGGCCAATTTCTGCAGCAGATTGAGCATGGGGTAGAGTTAGATCTGTATGCCATTCTCCTTGTTGTTGTTTGGCTTTTTCC